CATTACACTCATAAGATTTTTCTCCAGTATGAATTCTCTGGTGTTGAATAAGGGATGGATTCTGGTGAAAAGCCTTCCCACATTTATTACATTCATAAGGTTTCTCTCCAGTATGAATTCTTTGGTGTCGAGTAAAGTGAATGTTATGACTAAAGGTCTTTCCATGTTGATTACATTTGTAAAACTTCTCTCCAGTACAAATTCTGTAATGGTAAGCAAGATAGATGACATGTCACTTTAGGCTTTGCAACATTCATTACATCACAAGGTTGTATGCTAATATGCATGCAAAGCTGGGGAATATATTTGAATAATAACTGAAAGACTTATTATTCTTGTAATATATTATTCTTTGAGTAGATTCTATTTGATTTCCTTAGGTCTCAATGCCATCTGAAGTAATCATACCTACACACACACACACACAGAGGCACATGTGCACATGTATATGGATGCACACACACACATGAATATGTAAAACATATGTATACATACATAAACACATATGTAAAATAATATAATATTTAAGTAGTTATTTTCCCATAAGGGCCATCAATAGTAAACAAAGGATTGAACTTGAAGCTTCTGGTATACCAGTTTTCTTGGGGTGATTTTAACTTGCCTAGAATGTTTCTTCTTATGCTTCTCTAAAGTGACATTACATTTCCAAACTTCTCCCAAATTAGAAATATGGGAACCATCCTTTGTGGATCTTCCTTGGGATGATTTTTCTATGGAAATGTCCAGGTTTTTAGTAGACTTCTTGGTTTTAGGCCTACTTTCCCAACCTGAAAGAAATAAAACCATAAATTACTGGCCCTCCCTTCAACCATGCTTTCCCTCTGTTATGAGAAAAGAAACTGCCATATAATTAGTCATGTCTTTTGTCTCCATTAAGAAAAAAGGCTGTTAAACATTAATTGGAAGAATGATGATGCTATAATACAGCTATACAATCACATATATACATATGTACACATATATACACATACATACATATATATAAAAGCTTTCACATTTTGCTGTCATTTGGTTTTCACAATAACATTGTGAAGTAGGTAAGCAAAGCCAGTATATTTGCTAGATCAAGACATTTAAGGTCAAAGCAATTTAGTGTCAAAATATGGGATCTAATAGAGGTCATAGGACCACATATTTAGAGCTAGAAGTAATCTTAGACTCTAGTCTGAACCCTTCATTTTACAGATGAGGAAACTGAGGCCCAGAAAGGTTATACACTTAAGGTCACACAGGCAGAGCACTGTTTCCACTATACCATTTTTCTTTTCTATGAAGTGAGAAGATATAATATCTCCTTAACTCTAAATTTAACTCTAACTCTTAACTAGAAGTAACAAAGAAAAGCTAATGGGAGACAACTTACAACTCAACCTAAAGGATGCATATTTTCACTATGGTGTCGAGTAAGTTGGGTGCTATGACCCTTTTAAATATTATGACCAACTACTTAAAGTCAAAAAATTCAAAGAACCTCACATGATAATAGTTGTATGATTAGGATCCATTACTTGATTACAATGCATAGTGTAGATTTTTGGATCCCTTATAAGAAACCCACAGTCTCCGCAGGGTCCATGGCCCACAGATTGGGAACCTGTACTCTTAACACTTACAACTATACAAAATTAAAAGGTTTTCCTCACAAAATTACAAGAATGTTAGATCTGTTTGAAGATAAACAGAGATCAACTAGTCTAACCCATTCATTTTATAGATGAGGAAACTGAGGCCAAGAGAGCTGAAATGACTTGTTCACATTTTCAAAAATAAGTATCAAAGGAAAGACTCAAACCTAAGTATATTCATTTTGATATTCATTCTCATTTCAGTACGCCATGCTCCCTCCCACCATGGAGTAAATTCACTGAATATTTAAGCAATGACTAGGAAGAGAATGATATAGAGAGATTACTAAATTGGTTGTGGAAAGCTAGACAGGATTTTCCCTCTGTTTACTTTGACTACATTAACAAATATCCAGCAGTAGGGCCACTGTGATGGATGACTAGATTTGACCATGTCAAATATGGGCCTGTTAGTAAAATGTAAACTTTATTTTATCTCCCTTTGCTTATTATTATTCCAATCCCAGTCTTAAACATTTACTACGTACACACTTATAAGTCTAGAAGAAGTTCAGATGTTGGGTTTTACAAGTACTGAGACACAACTACAGCATTAAACCGAGCTTATAATGCAATTCTACTTTTGTAGATTTTTTGTTTTTGTTTTTGCTTTTTGGTAAGGCAATTGGGGTTAAGTGATTTGCCCATGGTCACACAGCTAGTAGGTGTCATGTGTCTGAGGCTAGATTTGAACTCAGGTCCTCCTGACTTCAAGGCTGGAGCTCTATCCACTGTAGCACCTAGCTGCTCCTCTGTAGATTTTTAAAAGTTTTTTTTTACCCTTTTCCTACATTTCCTAATTATACTGCTTTAAGACTGCCTGGCCTTCCCTATTTGCCCAGCCTCATTTGCTTACTATTTTATAGCCATAATCAAAGGATTCCTCTTCTCAATCTTCCCCTCATTATTCTGTTGATGTCAAATATGTAAGTTATTTATTAATTGATCTCTTCTCCCCTTCCCTAGGCCCACATCTAGCACAATCAAGAAAATAATATACACAATGACTACAACAATGTAAAATGAAGGAATAGCAAAAAACAAAACAAAACTAAACTAAAAGCTACATAATTGTAATGACCAAACATCCCTAGAACTGAAAAAAAAAATGCCTGACCTCTCCTCTTTGCAGACATGGAGAGTAGAGACATGGAATATTATATATTGTGTCAGACACAATTTAATCCACCAGTTATTTTTGCTGAACTGCAAGTTTTCCTCTCTCTTTTTTAATCTTGTTTATGAGGGATGGTTCGCTGAGTAGGACAAGGTGGAAGGTATATGTTCAGAAACGAGTGTGTTATAACAGAAGCTATCAATAAAAATAAGATTTAAAATTTAAAAAAAAAATTAGGTAAGAAACCTCCCAAACAAACCCACAATGCACATTTCATGAAGTGTTCATCAAAACTGTCCAACAGCAAATTCATGTTCACACTATGTTCCATATTTGTACTTTCTTAACAGAAAATAAAGATGTGTGTTATAACTCTGTCAGCATGTTAGCTATGGTGTTCATTCTATTTGACCTGAATTTTGTTGCCTTTACTTACATTGCAGTAATTGTGAATATTCCTTTGGTGCTATTTTCTTCAGCATGCATTTTTTCATACACCTTTTCTAATGTCTTTAAATCATTCATATTTATTATTATTCCTCGTAGTGAAATAACATTCTTTTGCCATTTCCCCAATGATGGGTCACTCACTGTGTTTCTAACTTTTGTCATTACAAAAAATGCTGCCACAACTATATTTATACATGTATGTCTTTTACTGCTGTAATTAACTTCCTTGAGGAATGATCCCAGCTATAGGATCTCTGGATAAAAAGATATGAACTTAGTAACTGGTATAATCTTTTTGAAACCCCTACAGCAATATAGAGTATAAGTAAGACAACAATTCCCACAGATATGGTCATACTAAAGAAAGTCATCTGGACTTCTCTTCCTTATCATGCCCCAGGGACCTCTTCCTCCTGCAAGATCATTTAAGCCTTGGAACTCATACCTCCCCTGGAACCTTTACCTCTGGGGTTCCTTCTTCCCTCATACTGGAGGGTGGAGAGCTCTTCCAAGAAATCTCCATTTAAGGAGGACCCCCAGGACAGTCATTTCTTCCTTTCCCAATGAGCATTTCTCTGGACTACCGCACCTCCCACTCCCCCTACCTCTTCAGCTTTCTTGTGTCATCTTCTGCCATTAGATAGTAAGTTCCTTAAGGGCAGGGACTATCTTTTGCCTTTCTTCTCATCCCCAGTATTTAGCACAGTGTCTGGTGCACAGCAGGACTTAATAAATGTTGATTGACTGACTGACTAAATGGAAAGTTCAGAAAAGTGTTTTACTGAGGTATAGATAAGACTTTTGTAAAAGATCTAGTATCAGTTAGCTGCAGCTCTTTTCTTCAGGCTTGGGTAGCTTTGAAGAGTACTCACTGTTCAACATTTCAAACACATATCCCTCTTTCCAATCACTCACCTGTGCAGGTGATTTTTGGGATTTCTTTCTTGTGGACCCAAGGTGCTTTACCTTGTTCCAACTGGCAGATCAGATCTGGCTTGGAAACGGCAAGTCCTGTTCATTGGAATAGGAAAGGAGCACCAGTAAGTTTCAAAGACTGATAACAGAGGACCTCAAGCAGGAATGTATCATGTTCCTGGAAAGTTTAGGGATATGTCTTGAAGTGGGTTTGGACTCACGTTAAAAATACATTCACTGCGGGCAGCTAGGTAGCACAGTGCATACAGCACTGGCCTTGGATTCAGGAGGACCTGAGTTCAAATCTGGCCTCAGACACATAACACTTAACTAGCTGTGTGACCCTGGGCAAGTCACTTAACTCCATTGCCTATCCAAAAAAAAAAAAAGAATTCAGAAAAATACATTCATCTGATCCACTCTGCTAAGGGCATGGGAATTTTTTTGTATTGAAGAATTTACAATGAAACTTTAAGAGAGTTTTTGACCTAAGGAAACGAAAAATGGGGAATATAAAGCAGACCCAGTCACATAAAGCAAAGATCTGGATACAGGCAGTAGGGATCCTGTTACTGGACTGAAAAGAATTTGCAGGTGTTTGCATAAACACCTCACAGTGTTTACTAAGAAAGGAAACTACCGATGGGAAGATTTTGAGTCATGAAGGGGAGTAATCCTTACCCACATAAACCAAATTCCTATAGTTCTCCAGCATCACATTCCTGTACAACTTCTTGTGGGATAAATCCAGGTGATCCCACTCCTCCTGGGTGAAATCCACAGCCACATCACTAAATGTCAGTGATTCCTGAAACATGATATACATTCCTGCTTATCCAGGGACTATTCCTAGAGGGAGAGGTAAAGTTAGTAAGAACTAAAGAGGTGTTTCTCATAGAGTTTAGGCTTCTGAATATCACAAATCAAATATTTATTGAGTACCTACTTTTTGCTTCAGTTTATCCTGGATTTTGAAGAGTGTAAAAACATAAAATCCTAGAAAAATGACATACTTACATTGTACTTTTTGAATTACAAAACTATTTTCTCAAAGCGTGGGGGGGCAGTACAAATATTTATTGTCCCTATTTTACAAATGATAAAGTAACACGCCCTCAGTCACAAGATAATTAAATATCAGAGTTGGGACTAAAACTCAGGTCTACTGGCTTTAAGTCCAACACTTCCCACCATACCCTGCCTCTTGCTTTATAGATCAACCTTATACATTCTCTCCCAGGCAGTGCAACTCAGTTGTACTCTTAAACTCCCAAATGCACCATAGTTTGTCAAGGAGAAAAGCAAGTGAAAGGATTAGAGATTAGAGAGCCAAAAGCTCCCTATTGCATAAAGACTGTTTTGATCCCCCAAAGTTAATAATGCTCTCCCCATCTCCACAAACTTTGTATTAGCTTGTCTGTGTACATATTATTTACCCAAAGATCAATGTAAGCTTCTTGGGAACAAAGATTATTTCCTTTCTGTCTTTTAAGTCTTGTTGCCCTCAGCTGAACCCCTAAACCAGCTGGCAGAGAAAATATTTATATCCCAGAAAAAAAAAAATCAGACACTACCACAAAAGTCTACAAAAGGTTCTTTCTCTATAATGCTCGTCCTGATGCTCCTACAGTGCAAGTGGACATTTGGAGTGTTTCAAATTCTGACTCCACTCATGTGACCTTAAATAAATCGCTTTCCCTTTGTGAATCCATTTCCTTCTGTTAAATGGGGTTTTCATTACTCATGTTATTTGCACTTAAAAATCTCAAATCATTTCACTATGTAGAATCCTATTCTACCACAAGGAAATACTCATTTTATTTGGTGTTTGTTAAGTTCAGAATAAAAACAAGTAAAATGAAAAATCACTACACCTTTCTGGTATTCTTCACAGCCCCCAGCTTGAACATTCTGGGAATCTGGATACCTTAACAAACTGATCAATGAAATTTGGATGAAGAATGGGATACTAAGCAAGAGGAGGAGTTCTCTATGGAATGAATCACTTCAGAAGGCAGTGACCTAGTGAAACAAGCACTAGATTCTGGTTCTTGGTTCTGCTACTTACCTGTAGGACCCTGGACAAAGTCCTTCCCTGCAGTATCTGAATTTCCTCTGTGGACCACAGAACCATTTCAGGAGAGAAAATTTCAACTTACCTGGTAGGCCCAAGATGCCAATAGTGGAGGGGCCATTCCCTCCTCCTTCTCTTCCTCTTCACTGTTATTTCTTCATTACTGTGCTTCAGAAGGCAGAGCTGGAGTGGAAAAGTGAACCTTGGCAAGGAGTACCTGTCCTTTGTTTGTACTTCTCAGAACAAAGAGGCAGAAATCTCTATATCCCCATTCCCGAAAGGGGTAGAAATCAGAAGGTCATGAGAGAAGTGGGGTGGACTCTGCTGCCTGGGGTGTCAGCACCATCTCTAGAGAATAAAAGGAACCAAGGATACTGAATATCTCAGTCAACTGAATTCTTCTTTCTTAAGGGCAGAAATGCTTAAACCTCTACTCTCAGCTCAGACTAGAAGCAAAAACTGACCTTTAAAAGGAACTCTGAACTCCTGCCCCCACGGCCACAAGACTGGCCATCAGCCTTTCCTGAGGCTAAAGAACCGGAGACATCCCAAAAATGCATCTCTGGGTACAGGGATCCTCACCTGGTTCAAAGGCAAGGACTGGGAGGGAAGTAAGCAAGTCTGTGGAGCTGAGGTGGTGGACGGGATGAGAAAATAGAGAAGCCTGCTGGCCACAAGGTCTGAGGCCCTGGAGAACCACTAAAAAAGCAGACTCGGATCAACAGCCAAAAACCCCATTCTTTGTGCAGCCTTCTCTTCAAGCATGCACTGAAAGCTCCTCTGTCCACCACACTCCATTTCCCAGAAAGCCCAGGCCCTGTACTGGAAAGAGTGCAAGAAACTGATGAGAGGGTCTGGGGCTTTGGCAATGAGAGGCTAGCTGCTGCCACCTCAAATCATCCATCCTTTCTTCACCTTCCTTTTTCATTTCAGGCAGATCTATCTGTCCTCTGACCTTGTGATTTTCCCCAACCTGCCTTTCTATCAGTCCCAGGACTACTTCCCTGTAGTGACTAAAAATACATTTAGGAGTAAGCCAGAAAGAGGAATGGAAGGACAGGTGGTTATGATCAAAGAAAAATTTCAAAATTCAAAATCTTGGTGGTGGCACATTTGGGTTTCTGGTGAAATTGAGATATAACCCCTCTACATGCACAAGTAATCCCCTTCCACCCTGTGTTTTCCAGCAGATACCACCACCACTGCCCCATGATCTTTACTGTCCCATTTTTTTTTTTTTTTGGCAAGGCAATTGGGGGTTAAGTGACTTGCACAGGGTCACATAACTAAGTATCAAGTGTTTGATCTGAGATTGGATTTGAACTCAGGTCCTCCTGACTCCAGGGTCAGTGCTCTATTCACTGTGCCACTTAGCTGCCCCATCCCATTAATCTTTAATCTTTCCCTGGCTGCTTCCCTACTGCCTACAAAGATTCCGATGTCAACCCTATCCTCAAAAAACCATAGCTTGATCTGTCCTGTGTTGGCTATTGTCCTTTATGTTGCCTCCCTTTATCAGTTAAACTTCTTGAGAAGACCATTTACAAGTGCCTTCACTTCCTTCCCTATCACTCTTCCTAACTCTTTGCAGTCTGACTTTGATGTCATCATGAAATTACTCTCTCCAGTTATTAATTATCTCTACCAAATTAATGGCCTTTTCTCAATCTTTGAAGCCTTTGATATTCTCACCCTCTTCTTCATAATTTCTTCTGAGTTTTTGTAACATTGCTCTTCCACAGTTCTCTTAACTGACATGTCTTCTCTGTTTCTTATGCTGGATCCTCATCCAGCTCGCACTTCCAGGACTCTGTCCTGTGATCTCTTCCTCCTCTATAATATTTCAGTTGGTGATCTTATAGACTCATGGTTTCAATTATCATCTCTATGCAGATGACTCTTAGCTCTATCTGTCCAGCCTTAGGCTCTTTCTCAAACTCCATTCTCCCATCTCCAGCTACCCATTAGACATATCTTAAACTGGATGTGCTATAGATATCTTAAATTTAACAGGTACCAAACTGAGTTTATAACCTCTTCTCCCCCTCTAGCCCTCTTCTCTTCCCTTTTACTTTGACGGTACCAGCATCCCACCACCACTCAGGCTTATGTTTTAGTTGTTTCCTCAATTTTTCACTCTTAGTGCTCATATCCAATTAGATATCAAGTCCTGTTGTTCCTATCTTCTTAACATCTCTCTTACATGCCCATATCCATGGGTAGACTGGGCTAATATGATAAAAATAACATTAGTCCCTACATTAACTTGTTCAGTGTGAGAAAAGTTATTATTTTGCTATTAACAACCAATTATCAAATTAGAATTAAGGCTTTTTCTCTTTATTTCCTTATTCAGGGACCAATCCAAACAGGTCAGTTAGACAGTCTCTGAAGGGCATGGCTGATAGAGGAGAGTGCCCTAATACTTGGGGTACATGCTTCTCTATCTTGAGCTGGACCCCATCCAACTAGGAGATCTTATTTCTGTTGAGTGTAATTTAATCTAGGTGAATTTTTGTCCTTGGAATAAGCCAATGTCCTTGTACCCCTCCACTCTAGTTTAGGGTGACCCAGTTCATAAAGCACAAAACCAACCAGAGTGTTCTGGGTGGAGATGGATTCCTCTGTCTAGATAACTAGAGGTGGCTATATCAAGTCATATTCTCAGCAGGAGGGCTGAAGACTTTCAGCCTACCTCCTCATTTAAATGTTTATCAATCAGGGTTGATTTTTCCTGTCAGGGGCATTCTCTTTCAAAGAATACTGAAGACATTAAGTGTTTCCATTAGATGTCTCTGGTTAAACCAAGAGAAATAACTGATCATCTATTTATTAGCTAGCCAAAATAATTATAGATTACCCATAAACTTTGTTTCTCAGGTTTTTCATTGTCACAAGTGTCATACCAATCAAACCACCAATACATTACTTTATTGAACTAGAAAAAAAGTATTAGGTTCTTCCTCATCGAGGGGAACAAAAGGTCAGGAATCTCAAAGGAAATGATGTTAAAAAAAAAAGGGAAGGAAGGGGGCCTAGCAATCAATTAATCAATAAACATTCACATAGTGCCTACGATGTGTTAGGTACTATGCTGAGGAGGGGTTATAAAATGAGGCTCTCTCAAGGAGCTTTCAATCTAAAGGCAGAAACAGCAAGCAAACAAATACATAGGGGACAAGCTATATACAGGTTTAACAGTAAATAATTGACAGAGGGAAGGCACTGGAATTAAGAGGGGCTAGGGAAGGCTTCCCATAGAAGGTGGGATTTTAGTTGGAACTTAAAAGGAAGCCAGGGAGGACAGTAGTCAAAGTACAGCAGAGAAAGTACTGCAGGGGGCAGTCAGAACATATGCCTGGAAAGATGGAGTGTCTTGTTCATGGAATAGCAAGGAGGCCAGTCACTGGTTCAAAGAGTATCTGGCAAGAAATAAGGTGAAAGAAAACTGGAAAGGTAGAAGGAGGCTAGTTATGAAGGACTCTAAAAGCCAAACAGAGCATTCTGCATTTGATACGGAGACAACAAGAAACCACTGGAGTTTACTGGGGGGGGGGGGGTGTGCATGTGACATTATTAGACCTATGCTTTAGGAAAATTACTTTAGTAGCTAAATAGAGGATGGATTGGTGTTGTAGGAAGACCCATCAGCAGGCTACTGTAGTAATCCAAGTGTGAGGTGATGAGGACCTGTACTAGAGTGGTGGCAGTGTCAGAGGAGTGAAGGGGGGCAACTATGAGAAATGTTGAAAAGGTGAAATTGACACTCCTTGGCAAAAGACTGGATACAGGGGGTGAGAGATAGTGAGGATTTCAGAATAATTCCTAGGCTGTGAGTCTGAAGGACAGGATGAATTCTATTTTGGACAGACTGAGTTCAAGACGTTTACGGGATATCCAATTCAAGATGTCTGAAAGGCTATTGGAGATCTGAGACTGGAGGACAGCAGAGAGAGTGGGGCAGGATAGGCAGATTTGAGAATCATCAGCATAGAGATGGTAATTAAATCCGTGAGCTGATGAGACCACCATGTGAAGTAGTACAGAAACAGAAAAAAGGAAGACTCAGGACAATAACCCTGAGAGACACCTGTGTTAGAGGGTGTGATCTGGAAGGTGATCCAGCAAAGGAGGAGTGGTCCAGATGGGTAGGGAAGATCCAGAGGGTGGTAGGGAATGGTAATCCTAGTCACTTTCTTTACTCTCCCTGTCAGCCTACTCTTAACATCCATTGAATCATTGTGTCAGTAGGGGCTTTCCCTTTGCTCCAATGTGAGAACTCTCCATAAACCAGAAGAGCCCCATCTACAAGATGCCACATTGCCAGATCTGCCACTCACCTCCAACATTAACCACAATGAGACCTTCTTCTAATTGCTTAATGTGCTAGGACTTTTACTCTTCTTGTGCTGGCAATACTACTGTTCCATAGATGGTAATAAGAAGCAGTTGATGAGTTTGTTGTGCTCAAGGTTGTACCATGCTAATCTCATAGGGTTATTAGGAACTTTCTCATTTTTCTAAAAAGAGAGTTCCATGTATATTTTTAAATTTTTTATTCTTTTTAATTATCAAGCATTTTTTCTCCCTCCCAACTCCCCCTCCAATAAAAAGAAAGATTTGGTTGTACAAATTTAACTTTTAAAACACTGAAAACTTTAGAAAATGTTATGTAATTGAAATTGTTCATTTTGTCTTCAATGAACCTCTTTATCTTTACTTTTATCATGAATTCTTCCCCCTCACCCCCCCATCCATAGCTTTGAAAGGTAATTTCTTCTTTGTTTCTCTAATTTACGTGACATTTTATATCTAGGCCACGTATCCATTTGAAGGTCATCTTAATATATAGTGTGAACTGTTTGTCTAAATCTAATTTCTGTCAGACTGCTATTCAGTTTTTCCAGCAGTTTTGTCAAATAGAGAGTCTTTCTCCCCATAGCTGGGTCTGTTGGTTTACTGAATACTAGGGTACCATATTTGTTTCTGTATGTTGTGTACCTAATCTGTTCCACTTGTCAATCTCTCTCCAAAGTTACCAGTGATCTCTTAATTACCAAATCCAATGGCCTTTTCTCAATCCTAGTTCTCCTTGACCTCTCTGCAGCCTTTGATAATGTTGATCTCCCTGTCGTCCTTGATACTCTCCATTCTCTAAGTTGTCAGGACATCAATCTCTCCTGGTTCTCCTCCTGCTACTAAAAAAACAATTAGAGAGAGCCATTAAGCAATAAGAATAAAGTCTCACTGTGGTTAATGTTAGGGGTGAGTGGCAGATCTGGCAATGTGGCACCCTGTATACGGGGCTCTGCTGGCTTATGGAGAGTTCTCTCAGCGGAGCAAAGGAAAGCCCCTACAGACACAATGATTGGTTCCGTGGGTATTAGAGTGGGCTGACTGTACCACTCCCTAGTTACAGTTAACTTCCTCTTAGAGAATTGCTTAGGACAGGGGTAGGGAACCTGCAGCCTCAAGCCACATGTGGCCCTCTAGGTCCTCGTCCTCAAGTGAGGCCCTTTGACTGAATCCCAACTTCACAGAACAACTCCCCTTAATAAAAGGATTCGTTCTGTAAAACTTGGACTCAATCAAAAGGCCGCACCCAAGGACCTAGAAGGCCACATGTGGCCTCGAGTCCGCAAGCTCCCCAGCCCTGGCCTAGGGCACCAAGAGGCCAAATGACTAGCCCTGGGTCACACAACCTTCCAGATTCGGAGATCTCACTTCACCATGCCAAGCTGCTTTGCCCTGAGTGCGGACTTAATACATAGCTAGTTACCTGACATTAAGCATCTGAGAATCTGGGTGGGTCTGGGCTCCTGGGCCCTACTGCTACAATACTGGAGAAGGCCGCGAATGTGAAAAGGAAGGGAAAGACACACAACCAAAAAACTAGGAAGAACCGAAGCGAAAGAAGAAACGGAAGTCAAGTCAGAGAGCTTGCGTCCTTCCCCTCAGGTTCCGCCCCCGTAAAAGCAAGTTCCGGCCACCCTCTGCCCCGAGAACGCTAACCATGAGAAGCCCTCTGGAGCTCCGCCTCAGCTTAAAGAACGCGGCTTCTTCCACGGGGACGGGAGAGCGGAAAACAAAGTAGGTCTGTGCGGTGCCTATCGTATCCAAGACGGTGTGACAGAACCCACGACACGAACACCAGCCAGCTTCTGCCCCAGGTCTCTGAGCATGCGCAGAAATCTCCTGGTGCCCTAAACTACACTTCCCGAAAACCTCCTAAGATTTTTAAGAACATTCTTTTGCTCCGGAAAATGTCCCGGAATGTAAGGGGCGGAGATTTCGGGGGGAAGGGTGGGGGGAAGGACCGGAAGTGCTGAGAAAGGGCAGGCCTCCCGCCCGACGTGTGTCGCGAGGTAACGGTGGAGCCACGCCCACGTCCCAGCAGCCCTCGGGACTCGGTCCAGGCTGACCCGCACCGTGACGCCTCCCGATGCTTGCACCTTAGCCTCTGGCCTGGCAGGTGCATGCGGGACGAGGCCTAGGGCAGCAGAGGTTTCACAGAGAGAGATTCTGGGTCCTTCGTTTTACAGATGAGGAAACTGAGGTCTCCGGCGGTTAAGTGATTTGCCCAAGGTCACAGAGGTGGTGATCGTCGTAGCCTTTTGCGTCGCGCTGGGTCTTGAGCCTCCCCCGTGGAGAGCCCTGCCCGAGGAGGGAGGACAAGACCCGGGCACCGGTCCCCGAGCGTTGCCCTTCCCGTTCCTTGATGCGATACCTCCAGCCCCCTCTGCTCCGGGGAGACCGCTGAGGCTGCGGACGGCGGCGCCCATCCCCCAGTCTCTCTGATCGGGAATGTCCGCGAGCTGAAGCGCAGGCTGCCCTTTCTCGTGCCTTGTCCGCCCCAGCGCCGCCTTCGCAAGACTGTGCCCTTCCTCAGAAGAGGCGGCCTTGAGAAGGAGGGAATGGCCCCAGCGTTCCTGCCAGCCCAGGCTGGGCGGGTGAGTTTTCTCTTTTACCAGCCACCCTCTGGGTTTTCAGGAATAGATAGTGCAGTGGAAAGAGGGCCGGACCTGAGTTCAGATTCGGCTCAGACACTCTCACTAAACCTCTGTTTGCCTCTCTTTCTCTGTCTGTAAAACGAGGATGGTAACACCTGTTTCTCAGGGTTATTGTAAGGCCCAAATAGGATAATAATTCGTAAAGCCTTTGACATACTGACTAGCCCCTAGTAGGCACTATATAAATGTTAACTATTATTATTATTATTATTGATGAAAATAGAGTGCGTGGCTAAAATTTATAGGTAAACGCTGACTTTAAGGGAATCTCTACTTATAGACTTATGGAAATAGTTACTGACAATAGGCGTGTGTTACACTTAAATCTTTTGGGTAAAGGAGAAAAAGCTACGTTGGGGGTTGGTATAATAAATAAGTTTGAATTTGAATTGGTCTGAATTTATACAATTAAGAAGAAATTGCAAGGGACAGTATTTTTCTTTGGAAATAATATTTTGATTGTTAATGGAGAATGATTGTATTGTATGACTTGACATTAATATTTGGAATACAGTGGGTGATTATGCCTTTACTTACATGTATGTTGATGATCTAAAAAATATGATTTGGAAGTTTCAGCATGACCCAATTGTAGTCCTTGAAGAAATGATTTCTAAGAGCTGTGGAATGATATGGTGGAAAGAGTACTGGATTCTGAGTCAGAAAACTTGGATTCATCCCAGTCCTGATATTTTACTAACTGGGTGACCATGAGTATTTCACTTAGCCTTCTTTTGAGTCATTTTTCTCTTTTATCAAATGAATCAGTTAGCAAGCACTTAGTGTTTACTTGCTATATGCCAGGCATTGTGGATGTGGGGATATATGATGATAAGTATTTGTAAGGAAAGTACTTTAAAATGTTTAAAATTGCAATAAAATGTGAGTTGTTGTTATTGTTGGATTTAGTAAAAAAATAAACTTATGCAATGGACACTTTGACTTGGAACACTCAGAAGCATGAACTTGTTAGACCCACTTTTGACAATTCCTATCTTGCCTTCAAATATGATCTTTATTGGTAAGGAGGAATACATTTGGTGTTTCAGGAATCTGTGACATTCACTGATGTGGCTGTGGATTTCACCTGGGAAGAGTGGGCACATCTGGACCATTTTCAGAAAGAGCTGTACAAGGATGTGATGTTGGAGAACTATAGAAACCTGTTATACTTGGGTATGCACATCTATCCCTTTAATGCATATTTGCCTATCGAAGTGATTTTTTTTACTTCCTCTACTACTAAATCCTGAGAAATTCTTTTAATAATTAAGTTATTTGGTGTGCTGAGAGAGATCAGAGATTGCCTAATTCTTTTGTAGCTGAGAGAGGTTACTTCTATCTGTTTGTAAGTGGAAATTGGCAGTTTAATTGTATTATACCTGAGGATCTTCCCCCTTTCTATTCCTTCAGATTCTCCCTTAATGTTGTAGTGGAAATACTTGAAGAAAAGTTTGCCATCCTCTAGGGAGGTATTGAATCAAATGAACTAACCTTTTCCTGAGCTTAAATCTACGTAATTACACTCTTCCTTCCCTGCTCAATCTCCCTGGCCATACTCCCAATAACACAAATCAGAGCTCCTTTGTACCATTCTTTCCACCTTCCTAGCATGCTCTCTTTTCCCTGAAGTGAGAAGGGCTAGAATTGAATTCTAAGGTGGCTCTCTATCCCTAGTACTTTCCCATTTCCAATGAGCAGGGCTTGCAGTTTCCAAACCAGATGTGATCTCTCAGTTGGAACAAGGGGATGCACCATGGATGTCAGAGGGAGGAGTCCCAAGAAGCATCTATTCAGGTGAGTGAGTAAAAACCCAGAAGGTGAGAGCCATTTCATGCAGCAAGCAACTCATTTAGGGACAGGGAAGTTTCAATTATCTGACATGAGCTGTCTTCATTAAGTCTCATCTTCACTTTAGCAAATCATTTTTTTGTGATATCTCCACATTCATCTGCTTCTGGCCACAAAGAAAGAGATGTCTTCAGTCGACTTTCACTTTCTCTGGAACTACCTTATTTAGTGACCATTTTCCCACCTATCTTCCTATAACCATCCATTTAAAAAAATGTATATTTAACAAAATAAAAATATCCTATTTGCCTCCATACTTTCTTGAATCTTTTTCTTTTGTGCATTTTTTTTGTACTGATGTTGCTACTCTTTTTTTTTTTTAATAGTATCTCTTAGTGTGTTCTGAATTTGCTTTTTTCACTTTATCAGATCAATTCACCATACATTTATTAGGCACCTACCTGGTTCAGGGCACTGTGTTTTTAGACTATAGATAGACAAAGACAAAAAGGAAATGTCCCTGCTATTGAGAAGCATATCTTCTCTTGGGGCTACACTGAATATATGAAAAGGATGTACAAACAACTGCAAAGAAATTTTCAAGTTCCTCACCCATCTAATGGGGATGGGAAAGGAGGAGATCAGGAAAAGTTTAGTGTAGAAGATAGTATCTCAGTTGTACTTTGAGGGAAGCTCAGGCTTCTAAGAATCCTTGGGAAGGAGAAGGAGGAAGGAAATAAGCATTTATATAGTGCTTGCTGTATGCCAAGCCCTGTGCTAAGCACTTTAAAATATCTCATTTGATCCTTACAATAACCCTGCAAGGTAAGTGCTGTTATTATCTCCATTTTGCAGCTCAAGAAACTGAGGGAAACAGGTTAAATGACTTGTCCAGGGTCACACAGCTAGTAAGTATCTGAGGCTGAATTTTAACTCAGTTCTTGAATCCTGGCCCAATACTCTATCCACTTTGCCACCTAGCTGGACGTTTTAGAATGAGGGGCTTTGCAAAGAAAAAGAGGTGGGACATTTAATGTGAATAATGAACAGCTAGTAGGCTAATTCGATTAGAAAGGTACGAATAAAATAGAATAATATGAAATAAGACTATACAGGTAGGTAGGACCCATATCATTGAGGACTTTAAGTGCCAGGCTCAGGGTTTTATTTTTTATCCTAGAGGCAACAGGGATCCTTAGTGGTAAGGATTTTGGGGTAGGGGAGTGACATGGTCAAATCTGTTTTAGGAATATCAGTTTGCTGTGTGAAAGATGGCTTGGAGGGAAGAGACACTAGATTCAGGGAGACCAATTATATTGTGATAATCTAGGTGCCCAATAATGAGGGCTCTAGCTAAGGTAATAGTTATGTGAATGAAGAAAGAGAAGGGACAGACACAAAAGGTGCTGTGGAGGTGCTCTAGAGACAAAACTTGCTACTGATTTTATTTTAAATTTTCTTTATCATGAACTTAAGCATAAACATTTTAGTATTTAGAGAACAGAAAAGAGGATTGTACATGAGACTGAACTAAGTATGTCATTGATTTAACGTGATTGTAACAAAGCTGTCTTGTCTGTTTTTCTGAAAACCTGCTTATCCTCTTATCTTTGTATTTTACTAATGTTTTATTGATAATTTTTTCTCTATTTTAATTTTCCCTCATTCAGTATCACTGCTTTCCTTTTTAACAAAAGAGCATAGCCAAGCAAAGCAAAACTACACATTGGCCATGTCTGATAATGTATTTCACATTCTATACCTCTAGTCTGTCACCTCACTGTCAAGTGGTGGGAAGCATTAATCATCAGTCTTTTGAAGTCATGATTGGTCATTACTTAATTAGACTTAAATCTTTCAAAGTTTTCCTTTATTGTAGTCGTTGTATAAATTGTTCCCATAGTTCTTCTCACTTTACTCTGCATCAGTCCATATGAATCTTTTTCTACTTCTTTGAATACTTTCTATTCATCATTTCTTTTGGGATAATAAAATTTTGTTAAATTCATACATGATTTATTCATCCATTTTCCAACTGATGAGTACCCACTATTTCCAGTTCTTTAATATGACAAAAAATATTGTGAAAATTCATCATCTTCTCCCCTTCATTCAAGATAAGGAGTTTCACATTGGAATAATTCCTTCACCTTCATTCTCATTTCCTTTT